AGCCAGTACAGAATCTCTCAGCATATAAGTTTATATCCTTTTCTTCTACGTGCCGTGTCCTTTCAGGGTGTGGGCGATCGTGGCTCTCCACAATTTCCTGTCCTTTTTAGCACTTAATAATTTTTTGTCTTTTTACCATCTCTCCCAAAATCTGCTCCACCACCTATTCTCTCAAGCTGACCAGGTAGCGTTGCTTTCTTATGGCCCTCTTACCTTCAATCTATGAGTACCAAATTTTCTAAGCACTCTTTCCTCATTATGTATCTCAGAAATTCATGGTGTTAAATATAAGTGTCCTTTTTGCTGCTATTGACACTAGAAATTCGTCGTTGCCCATGTGTTATGTTGGTTGATTTTGTTTAGCAGCATGACTCATTTAATGCCGAAATTTAAAAATTTGAACAGAATTTTATGGCTTCAACTAAGTATATTTTGAGCGCAATTGTGTGCCTTCAACTACAGATAAAATGCATCACTGGTCAAATACTGTCGGTCTTTTTTATGTAATACTGTATTGCTGGTACTTTTACTATTAAAATGTATTTTTGTACTTTCATAGTGTTTTTGTTTTGGGGACCCCTGTTTGCCCATAGCTGGGACCCTAATAGATGCTACCAACCCAGGTCAGTGTGGACCTTGGAACAACAGCAATTAAGAAGTTGTTCCAGGCCCCTCAAAGCCTCCAATCTCTCGATCAGACGCTTTGCTGCCGGATGTATTTTATTGTCATATTCAGGGCGTCACATGTTCGGTCTATGGTATTCCCATAATCCTTCTGTAGAACCACATTTCTGTTGCTTCAATTTTTTTCTTCATCTGTGACACGATTGTCCAGCATTCACAGACATGTAGGAGGACTGACATAACAGTTCAGTACTCTTTTCTTTGTTTTTAACGATATTTTTTTCTGTTTCTTAATACTTTAGTTCCCTTACGACTACTATAGTGATTTTCCAAGCGTAGCTTAGATGTGGCACAAGGCCGAAAGTAGGGGGACCCAGTGAGGATCGAACTCACTACTCAGTCGTAATTGTTCTAGCGAGATAAGCTTGCTAACCATTGCACCACCTCGAGGTGCCCCCCTCCCTTACGACTACTATAAGTGAACAGAAAAAATAAAATTACTGCCTGATTTAAAACCATAGCATCCAATATCTGTCAGTCAGTTATGTGCCATGCGTGATACACGCATAGGCGATCATGTATCTTTCGATACATGACGAACAAGGCAGATTTTTCCCGCATGAGGTTGCCATTTCTTTCTGCGATAGACCAGTTGCCACCCAAGGCTATAAAACCCAGTCTGCCCTGCTATTTACCCATATCTGGGGGGAGGAGAGAGAAGAAAAGGATTCATACCTTTCCCAAGAGTATTAATACGTCAGTGAATGTACTGGATTTGACTGGAATTTGAACTCGGCTCGCCGATTCCCCATTCCCCATTCCGAGTCGCTATCCACTATTACTCCACCGTATGCTATCATAATTATTTTCATTCTCAGTTTCTTAACTCCTTCTTAAATGTTTATATGAATTCGATATTCACTCGGTAACCCATTAATGAGACCATTTGTCCAATTAAACTAAGGTGATTAAAAGTAAGCATATGTTATTAGGTGAATGTTAACAAGATCGTCTCTTGGGTCATTTCTCGGTGTTCGATCCACACTCGATACCACAAACCTTTCCTATTTCTTGCGAATAAAATTATAGCAAGACAACATATTCCTATTCTGTCGATCCTTGTTTAGATAATTTGACAGGTGTGCCAACTCCTCTGGGTAATTTCATTCTCCAATTTTTCTCATGTTTGACACATGCTGTGTAATTTGTCTTTCTTGAAAATATATATATATTTATATATATATATATATATATATATATATATATATATATATATATATATATATATATATATAATATACAAACTGATACAGAGGAGAAAGCTGCTTATATTTAATTTCAAATTAATGTTTAATGTCAAATGTTTAATTTAATATTTCAAATAAACAGTCAATTTATGTTTAATATTAGCAATGTTTAATATGTTCACTTGTTTCATTGATATATTAGTTTGAAGCTGTTACTCGGCAGTTTGACAAATATGTACAGCGTGAGCGAACCAAAAATGATACGAATTTTGGCTGCTGTCTTTTGTGACCAGCTCACATTGAAAGTAAGCGTGCAAACAAGTAGATAAGAGGCAGCTTTAAATAAGATTACAGCTTTCTGTAGCAACAGAAATGTGGTTCTGCAAAAAGACGCTGAGAATACCATGGACCGAACATGTGAGCAACGACGAAGTTTTAGAGAAAATGGAAACAAAAAAGAAACTTATACTTAACACCAGGCAGTTGAGATTACTTAGGCACGTAATGAGGAAAGAGGGCTTGGAAAATCTGATACTCACAGGACAGATTGAAGGAAAGAGGGACAGAAGAAAGCAGCGTGTGGCACATTTGGTGAGCTTGACTAAATGGATTGTAGAAAAGGGTTTAGGAGAAATAACCAAAAAAAAACTTAAGAGCTACAAGGGATGTGGTGAGCTATGATCGCCTACATGCTGAAGGGACACGGCATATAAAAGAAGGATGGAAACTGAGTTAATGTAACTAAATTAAGTTCATTGAACATTTGAGTTTTACATTGTGCAATGATTAAAAGTAGCTTCAAAAGAATGATACCTCTAGATCTTAAAGAATACAACCGCTCATCCGATCTTATAGACTGCCGCTACAGTATCACAAACAAGGAATTTTACCGAATAACAAAAAACACATCACTTAAAGACTTACATTAATAATTAAAATGAAAAGCACATTTAAACTAGAGGTAAAATAATAATGCAATCAAGATGTTAACTTTCCACACTTCTCTGTACACGTCCAATCAGGACAGGCGATCATGACTCTCCACAACTTCCTATTTCATATGACTCTTAGCAGTTTTTTTTAGTGGACTTGAGCAGCTTATTTTCCAGGAAAGCTGTTTTAAGAAAACGATTTTATAACTTTCAACCGACAATAAAGCTGTTCGGCCAGTGAATACCGAATGTTTCCTTATAAAGAAACAGCTATCTCACTATTACTAATGGAAATGTTGCTGCAATTTATTTTAAAGTTTATTTTTTCTAAAACTAATATTGCATCCGTGAAATGTGCCTAACCTGACTTTATAAAAGAACAAACGAATTTCTAAAATATACGTGAAGGTAAACAATATTTGATAATAAAACAAAATATAGGTAATTTTGTTTATTTTATTAGATGAAGCATTGGTAACTATTCTGCGAAGTCGTCAAGTTCATTTAACGTAGCCTTAAACCAGGTGGGTGTTTATCAAGTTTCCCTAAAGCAAAAGGAGCGCGGGTTCGAATATTACCTGGAGATTTTTTTTATTTATTTCCCATCCATGCTGTCTACTCACTGTAGCAGGCTTAATACCTGCGTAAAGTTGCAATAAAAATCAACTAAATTTTATGACGAAAATAAACAAAAAATATAGAAACATATTATACTTCTGCTTGTTGAACACTTCTACGTGATGTGATTATTAACAAGCTTGTTCTCGCTAGTTCAATTAGTGCCTGAGTAGTGAGTTCAATTCTCACAGGTGCTCCATGCTTTCGGTCTTGGACCACATCGAAATTAATTGCATCGCTCAAATTTTCGCTATGTTTTTGCTTCCTCCTCCATTTGTAAGTTACTTTGCGCGTGCATTGCACTTTGTCATTGCCTCACATAAGTAATGAACCATTCCGTTTTGATTGCGAGCGAAAAAAAAGGTAAATCACAGACGCTGTCTGTTTTAGTGAGAAAAAGAAGGCATACATAAGAAGAAGAATAAAGAAATTTATTTTGATAATTATAAGATTTCATTAATAAAATAAAAGTAAAATAAAATATTTTCTCAATGTTTTAGATACATTATAATCCCTGCCATTACCTCAGATAAATAATTTACCATTCCTTTTTAGTAAGTAAAGGAAAGCATACATAATAAGAAGAAAAAGAAAGACAGCGAAGATAAGGGACGTATTAACACTATTAGGCACTTAACGCCTGCTTCAGTTAAATAGAAATAAAGAGAGAAAAATAAAAGAAATAGAAAGGAACGGAAGTGAGAGGAAAGAAATGAATTGTTTGTAACGCTAAAATGGATATGTATTATTTTTCGACTTTTATAATTCTATGTATCTAATGTATCTTCTATAATATTATCAAGTTTCATTGATAATTATCCTTCATTAATGAAATGTACTTATGGTGACAATTAGGATTCAAAAGTAGAACTAACAACAAAAGGATATAAAATAATAAAAACAATTGTTTCTCATATTTTGTTAAAATTATTAAGCTAAAATATCTGGCGATGCAATAACGAAATTTCCAAGGGTATTTTATGACAATTGCAAGACACATCAGAAATTTCAAAACGGGAAAAACATTAAATTTTTCCGGGTTCTACGAGTTTTTGTCGATTTTGTTATCATTTCAGTGTTTATTTATATCGCCATCAAAGCATTATTCAATAACTGACAATAAAATTCTAATGTCAGTAAATATTGAAATCCAACCACTTATTTTTATTCTTATCCAAATATTATCTCCAAACCTGACTTTTTTTTTCTGAATTATTTACACAATTATGAAGTCTGTTCGGAAGATATACAGCGATTTTGAATTTCTTGAGAATTAATTGCACATCCTTGATGCAAGTGATCTCCCTGATAATTTCTGGGTTTTCCCAAAACTAAAATCTCCGTTGAAAAGGAGGAAATTTCAGTTCATATACAAGATTAGGGAGAACGCGACAAGGCAGCTAATGGCGACTCCAAAAGAGAACTTTATAGACAGATTATTATTGAAATATGTTTTAGGTGTAAGTTTTTTAAGCATTTTTATGTGATTAAAAATTGATGTGGTGAAGTATTTTTTTTTTAAAGATATTCAGTATTTTAAAAATTATTTTGATTTTTGAATGGGTATTATTCATTTTAGCATTACAAACATTTCTTTTCTTTCCTCCTACTTCCATTCTTTTTTATTATCCTCCTTTTTCTTTCTCAATTGAGATACCCATTAAGGTATAAATAAATAACGTTTTGAAAATTTGAATCAAGGGATACTATGTGAGGTCCCAATGAGAGAGAGAGAGAGAGAGAGAGAGAGAGATTTGAAGCCAACAAAACCGCTATTATTAGAAAAATAGCATTTTTTATATTTGGTGGCTGGGTTAATTCTGAACAAACTTCGTATGTTTTAGAATATATTGAGGAATAAGTTTTAAATGAAGCTACTTCCATTGTTTTGGTTTTATTGCAAGCCCAGTCGATGCTATTTGTATAGTAAACAAACTAAATACCCCTAACCCTGCTAGTCCATTTTATTTGTGCCTTTGTAAAAAGTAATGACTTTAAACTAGGATAATAAATCCCTTTTACTAAAAGGACAATCTCATATTTTAAATCTTCGATACTTTTCTAATAACTAAAATATTATATTCCATATAGTTATTGTATTTCTAACATTACTTAATGCATTCAAATTTTCTGTTCGTTATTTGCTGTTAAAAAATCCAACTATCATCAAAACTAAAGTTCGGTTTACACTTTTCATATATGTTCCCTGAGAAAATTTACTCACGCATAACATCTAGCTTAGTCAGGCGTGGTAATCCAACTAGGCTAGGTGCACAGTACATGTTGAGACTATACAGGTTGCGACAGCTGTAGCGACCATGAAACACTACTACTTGCAAGTTCCCGCCTACTTTTAACGTTCGACAAGAAGTCAGCAAAAATTCAAAATGCTGGACTAAATGAGATATTTTCAAATCTGCATTGAATATAATGTAGTACAATTACGGTGAAGGCTTTTAAAGTAATAATGATTTTCTTCTTTTTTTGTTGTCATTTCAAATAAAACATTCATATTTATACTTATCCGTTGACGATTTTTTTTAGCAGTAAGTTGTTTAAGGAAAAAGCAAAGTCGCTTCCTATATCACACAATACATGAGACAATGAATTTGGCATGGTTTCTCGAACAATCTATGAAAAGATAAGTGGAAGAATTTTTGGTGGTGTCGAAATTATTTTTCCTATTTTTAATGATAATTTCTTGGGGAAATTACTCTGCCATAACGACCGCTCGATCAAATTATCGCACACATTGTCAACTTTGACAAGTGCCAACTTATGATAATAAATAGATTGACAGATATCTGTTTCGTGCAAATGTGTTCATTTGCAAGTTTCTTTTTGCTTCCAAATTTCGTACCTGCAAAACAATCGTATGTAAAAAGTACGGTTTTCTTTTTGACACCGCTATCAATGTAAACTCCTTCGGCAATTTTATTGTTTCAAAAACCTAATTTTAAAATTTTAATAAAACTCGTATGGAATTGGATTTATGCAGTCTCTTTTTTTTTCTCGATAATCAACAACTAAAGTATTAGACAATGTTCTTGTAAATAAATAAATAATAAATAATTTAACATTTTTGTTGTTAATTCCCTAGAAAAAATATAAATCACAACCTATTTTAGTGAATTTGTGTGTTGAGGGCAAATGAAAGAAATACCCGGAAAATGCTTCTTTATTTTTTATTTTTTTTTACAACATTTATAATTTGTCATTCGTAATTATGCATTTATTTAATATTTTTTGTTCTCTTTTTCACAGACTTTTTTATAAAGTTGTAAATTTTAAAAAAATTGTTTTCATATTTATTTTTTGAAAGACTTTATCAAGGCAAATGTAAGAGAACGAAACGCATCGGATAATTAAGTTTTCGTTTTGTCTTTATTCACTTTGTCCCTTTATAGATATACTCTTAAATTTTACACTTATTTTTTTTTATAATATGGTAAATAATATTGCATTGTAGTTGCTTCACAAATTTGTATAAACTGGTAAATATTAAATTGTGAACAAACAAAAAATAAAAAAGAATTTAATTCTTTTGTTGTCAATTCTTGAAAAAAAAAAGGAGAAAAACAGTGCTTCTTTTGAAACAGTACTTTCTGTGGTGACGTGTTTAGCATATGTCACCACAAAAAATAGTTTGCCGTTATTTCATTCTTCGAAATAATTTATTTAAAACATCGATGATTATGATAAGACAATGTGAATAAATATAGAATATTAACGAAATCAATCACATTTTCATTTGAATTTCTGGAATGATGAGTTGTCCTCATTTACTAATGTAAAGCCTTCTTCAGTTCCAATTAATAACAACATAGATGAGGACATTAGTCCGACTGTCAAAAATGTAAATAATTAATGACATTATTGTTTGCTACTATGTTGCAATGGTTTTATTTTATATTCAGTTATGATTTTAACCAAAATAAAGTAAAACAATTACTTTTCCGCAAAAAAAAAATCTAAATAGTATGCATACATACTAGGCACGGTGGAGTAATGGATAGCGGCTCGGGTTGGGAAATCAGAGAACAGAGTTCGAATTCCAATCGAATCCATTACATTCGCTTATGTGCTAATACCATTGGGAAAGGTATGAATCCTCCAGCTATGAATGAATAGCAGGACAGACTGAGTTCTATAGCTTTGGATGGCAGAGAGAAATGGTAACCTACTGCCTCGTGTGTCATGTATTTTTCGATACATGATCGCCTAAGCGTGTATCGCACATGACACATAACTGAGTGGTGAATAAGGCACCTCGATTCGGTGTAATGGTTAACAAGCGTGTATCGTTAAATCAATTACAACTGAATGAGCTCAATTCTCATTGGGTACCCCAAACTTTCGACTTTGTGCCACATCTAAGCTCCGCTTAGAAAACCATCATAAGTACTAGGATAGATTGGTTAGTCTTTTGTTAGCTTCACACTTCTCCCCGGTCAGAAGTAGATGTTTATCCCTTGTTTCCTGTTTAGGATTGGATTTCCGATTCCTTCTAAAGTCTTCTAATTCTCTTTCACTCCCAGTAGATTCTTGTATATTAGTGGCATTATCGCCTTTCTTAGGGTAAACTGATTAAAAATAAAAAGTAATAAAAAGGTGAATAAACTTCCAAGACACTTCTAGGATTTTTTTAACATTGCACAAAAGTTGGCTCTTGGAAGTTTCGCATCAAATTAATAACAGCAATTAATCCTTCGCCATTTATTTAATATGCATCACACAGGAATAAATGTCTTCCCTCCCTTCCTCTCTCTTTTTCTCTATCTATTTATCTATCTGCTTTTTTTCTTGCTTGCCTACATGTCAACAAGTTACCCCAGGCTCGACCACCACTTCAATTACCAAGCTCTCTTCAGGAAAAAAAAATAGTATTCGGACGCTATCGTCAGCTTGCATCTCTGTAAAGTCGACGCAGACTTAGAATGCGTATCTTTTGGACAAAATAATCAGTCAACCGTGACGAGTCAGCAAACAACGAATTCATCTACGTTTGCTTAGCTGCTCACTATTAACTTACTGGTTTACTTACTCACCTATATTAGAAAAACACGAAAAATTCTTTAAAAAGAATAACTAAGTCAGAATGGAAGTGAGGTCAGATGCGGGGAAGGTTCGCGAAAGTATTCAGAGACTTTATATTTTATTATTTTGAGTAGATATTTTCATGGGATGGAAAAGAAAGAAATTTGAGGCGATCAAATAAAAATAAATCATGGCTACGCGAAAAAGGAATTGAGAAACAGGTTTTTAAAAAGTGAAATAATAAAAACTTCGTATATATTAGATATAAGGTAAAGTTTCTATCGTAAAAACAGTTTCCAATTGTGTATTCAGTTTCTCGTGATCAAGCTAGTAACTTTTCGACATACTTAAGAGAGAGAGAGATGGAGTGAAAGAGAGGGAGATAGGAAGAGAGAGGAGAAAGGGTGGGAAAGAGAAGGAGAGACAAAAAGAGAGAGTGAGAGAAAGAGAAGGGGAGAGAAAGATAAAAAGAGGAGGAGAGTGAGAGAGATCCGTAGATTGACACAGATATTAGCTGACATTTGATCTGAAATTTTCACTGTATAGAGATTTTCTAAGCGTAGCTTAGATGTGGCACAAGGCTGAAAGTATGGGACACCCAATGAGGATCGTACTCACTACTCAGTCGTAATTGTTCGTAACAAGACAAGCTTACTAACCATTACACCACCTCGAGATGCCCAATTTTCACTCTATAATGTTCTATTTGTGCGTTTAATGGAGAACTGTTGGATTAAGTGCATTGACAAAAGAGGGGATTATGTTGAAAAAAGTGTAAAATAAATGTTTTCTTTGTTATTTTCTACGGGCTTATTGATGTACATACGTATATGTGTATGTGTGTGTGTATATGTATGTGTGTGTGTGTGTGTGTGTGTGTGTGTGTGTGTGTGTGTGTGTGTGTGTGTGTGTGTGTGTGTGTGTTTCACTAAAAACGAAGACAATTATCACTGCAACCATGCTTCCTAAAAAGATAGTATATTTATTCTTCTATGTGGCGTGTCGCTTCAGGACATAGGCAAATCATGGTACTCCACAACTTTCTATCTTGTGTGGCTCTTAGCAGTTTTTCTGCCTTTGCTAAGGTCAACGAGCCCCCTACCACGCCCTCCATTCCGCCGTTCTCACTCTTTCTCTCTCTTGCCCTCACTACGCTACTTAAGGGTTAAGTTTTCCAAACTATCCTTCTTCATTATGTGTCCAAGGAATTTCAGCTGTCTTTTCCTGATTTTGAGTATAAATGTTCTTTCTGTTGACATTTCTTTAAGATTTCTTTGTTGCTTACTCACTCCGTCCATGGAACTCTCAGCATCATTCTGTAGACCTACATTTCTGCTGCTTCTGTTTTTTGTTTTTTTCCTCGTCCATTGGAAAACCGGTCAATCCATAGGGAAATTATTCAACATTCATTGCCATATAAGAGGACTGATATCTTATAACAATCCACTACTCTTTTCTTAGTTTCTAACGATTTTTTCTGTTTCTTTAATCCTTCGTTCAAACATTTTTTTATTAAATCGAACAGACAAGGAATATCTTTTCCTTTCACCTGGTGCAGAATAAGTTTATACTAACGCTTTTAGGTTTTCTGACATTAAGAGAAATGGGATTATTAAATAGAAATTATTGTAATGTTTTATCTAAAATTTGTTCTACCAAGTTTAAACAGTCAGTCTGTACGTTGCGCATCGAAAATTTAGAAAAAAATAAATATTATCGTAAGCCAACTTCAAGTCTATACTTCTAACATCTTCGCCTAAACACTGAAATTTTATTTACTATTTATTTATTTTTTTCCTCAATAGGCACAGATAGGCTAGCCTATCATTCGATTAGCACTCCTCACTGGTCCTTTGAACAGGAGTAGAGGTTTATCCCTTATTTCCTGTTTAGGATTGGGTTTCCGATTCATTCTAAAGTCTTTTCATTCACTTTCACTCCCAGTAGCCCCTTGCGTCTTAGTGACATTTTCGGCTTACTTGGGGTGAATTGATTAAAAAAAGACAGGAATTAATTCAAGCGTTACTGACAGAATATTATAAATATTATAGTTACATAATGTAAACGCATTTCTTCTTTTCTTTTACTATAAAAATACATTGTGAATGATTTTACTATGGGAATGCGCTGTAAAATACCATTGAAATCGAATGAAAAATATGAAGAAATGGATTGTCTGTGGTCAGGAATTAATACAAGTGTTACGAACAGAATAAGATTAATAAAGACATATTTTAAATGCTTTCCAATGTTTTTACTATAAATTTGTACTGTGTCTGCATAATGTTTGCAATATTGGACAACTAGTGACGTCGATAGCAAAGTGTAAACAAAAAATGTCCAAGTTTTTCCAAACAGAAACCAATAAATGGAAAGACTTGAGGCAACAAACTAAGTTAAGATCTGAAATAATAATTTTTTTCTCCTTATTTGACACACACGTACTCTCTCTCTCTCTCTCTCTCTCTCTCTCTCTCTCTCTCTCTCTCTCTCTCTCAAGTAGACAAGTATTCTATGACAAGCTTCACCGACCTGACACCATGATATTGAACATCTACCGTCAGTCCTCTTCTCTACTGCTTGCAGTTAATGTATTTCCTAAAGTCATTTGATACATGTGCGCATGCGTGTTTAAACAGGGAATTTAGGACGACTTATTTATCGATTAATTTACTACGTTTTCTTGTATCATTAGATGATAAGCAAAGATTAACTTATTATTAATTGGCTCAAAAACGTACGGAACAAACTTCTTTTAACTAAATTCATAAAACAAGCACAAAATTCCTGCTTTTATGAAAATTCGGAGGAGATAACTTCTAGATGGGCTTCTTGTCTTGTCTTTTTTTTTTTTTTTTTTTTTTTTACTTTAATGGTTAATAGAATCGAAAGCATTTATATATACCAGAAATACCCGTAAAATTTTCACGGTTTTCCTATTTTAATTTTCTGATGAATCTTAATTCTTAAGTTAATTATTGAATATACTCATGGCGAGTTCTACGACAATAAAATATCTGTAGAAACTCCTCTATCGCATCGTTAAATATTTGAACTTAACAAATTTAACAAAATATTGTAATAACAATCATAAATATGAATGTTGGTCATTATTTTAAGACGTAATTGGGTACAAATGATGGAGTACATTTTTTATTTGTTTCTTTCTTTCTTTCATTTTCTCACTGAAACGAAATAGCGTCTCAGATATGTCTTTTCTGTCTTTCCACGCGATCGAAACTTAATAATCCATTATTTATGAGTTATTGACAAGAGACATTAAACATTTCTATCGTCCCGTATTTCTTCTTTCTTTCTTTCCTTCCGTCGCTGATATGTCTTTTCCGTTTTCCACGTAATCAAAACGAAATAGTTCATTATTTATGGTGTATTAGCAAGGCTTAACGATCATTCTAACTAAGGGAGGTACAAACAGAATTATGATAAGATACTTTCCAGTTCTTTGTTCGGACGCGAAATAAATATTTTTTTATTTTAACTCACCAATAAGTAAAAAATTATGTACGTATATTTTATGAAAATATATAGCTGTTTGTATATTATTCTAAATATGCACCAGATAAAGGTTTACAACTTTCTTCCTTGATATTTACAAAGCTTTGTTTAGTATGATAAAAGAGAGAATAATGAAAAATAAGTCGAGAAAGATTGATGTTATGTCTGTTATCTAAGTAAATAGGACTTGTCTATCTAGTAAATCGTTTTGTGAAGTTCCATGGTTTTATCTTAGTTTGAATAACATTTCAAGTTTGTTTCTTGTTGCATTTTTTTGCAAATACTTTTTATTATCATACTTTGGACATGCTGGAAAAATAGGTTTCTTTTTTCTTAATTATCAAGTAATATTTCTACATTCCAGAAGGCCACATCATATTATTTAGAAATCGAATATAATGTTACCTCCTGCTAAATGGCGATTTTACTTTCATTGGTTCAGCCAAATCCTTTATGGTTTCTTCTTTTTATTAAATTCTACTTCCTATCTTTCTTTTTCTCGTCTTTTCTCTCATTCTCTTTCTTATTTATATTTCTTTTGTTTTCGTTTTCTATTCATTCTTCTGTCTTTATTATTCATTTTCTTCAATATTTAGTCTAAATTTCTCCCTATTTTCTCTTTTTCTACTTCTTAGTCTCTCTATTTTCATGCGCTTTGACTTTATAATTTTACTTTCGCTTTCCCACTTCTCTCTCCCCCTCTCTCTTTTATTTTCCATTATTCTTTTTCATTGTCTATTTTTCTTTTTCTCGTTTTCTTCTTCTCTTTCTCCTTCTTTACCACGCTCTCATTTTTGTTATTTTGTTGTTTTCTTTTCTTCTTTTTTTTTCCTACGTTTTCATTCTTTTAACTTATGAAAGCTTATATTTCGTCAGCCCAAAAAAACAGAGCAATATCGGCTGACTATAAAATGGCCAATGTTGGTTAGTCAGTTACACCTGTGTTCACATCTAGGCCAACAACCATGGCTACGAGACGTGGACAAGCAGCCGTGAAATGAAAACTAGACTCTGTTTGTTCCCTTTGATCAAACAGGTTTTCAAAAGGCTGATGTTACATTATATAAAAGCTGACTCTTTCCAAGCGGGGGATTTAGAGGTAGTCTTGCGAGTCTGTAATTGTAGTGAGGGGGTGACTATTTATGTTATGCCGAGAAAGAAGGCTGTGTGAAAGACCTACTTGAACCAACAATCAGTTTTCGATCCTGTTTGCTTTCGCTACGTATTATTTTAAATTAACACTCTTTAGGAAATATATAAACTGACTCTTTTCCCTGACATTTTTCTTCTTCTATATGCTTTTTCCCTTAAGGTCGTGGGCGATTATGGCTCTCCACAACTTCCTGTCATTTGTAGCTCTTAGTAATGCTTGTCTTTTTGCCATCTCTCCCAATCCTTTATCTGTCAACCATTTACACAATCTCGTTAGGTTATTCACTGATTTCTTCTGTCTCTCTTGCCTTCTGTCATGTGAGTGTCAAATACTTTAAGTGATCGTTCTTCATTAGGGGAGAAATTTCAACTACCGCTTTCTGGTTGGAAGTATAAATGACGTTTTTGTTTTCACTTTACCCACTACTTAATCGTTATTCACGTAGTCAGTCCATGGTATTCTCAGAATCCTTCTTTAGAACCACAATTTTTTGCTTCAAGTCTCTTCTTCATCTGTAATAAGATTGTTCAGCATTCACTGCTACATAGATGGAACAATATTACATAAAAGTTCAAAACTTGTTTCTTTGTTTCCAATGAAATTTTCTAGTTTCTTAATACTTTGCTTAGACTTTTGAAAGATATTTCGGGTTACATCCTCTGTTAAAGCACTTCCCAGATAATTTCTTTTGTCTAATACACCTTTTTTTACCATATGTCAGAATGCCATCCCCTTTTCCAAGATTGTCTAGCTCAAAAGATGCATTCCAAATTTTCTATATTAATACATATACATTTACATGGATTATTTTTGTAGAGAAATTTTAAAAATTTAATAGCAATTTAAAATTATTGATGGATTTAAAAAAAAAAACCTACACAAATCCGCATGGATCCTCAAAGGCTGATCGACAGAGTACTGCGTATCCATTTGACAACTCTTGCAGCTGCGCCGGTACCACAGCTCTAGTTCCTTAAGCTACAAAATCGTCTCGTGAGTGGTGCGGTTAAATATGATTTACAAAAGTCACACTTTCTTTAAATACTTTTCCAATTTCCCACTCCATTTGTCAGAGTAGCACTCCCACGACCATTTCAAGTAACAGAATCAGAGATTAAAGAAACCGGTTAACCCCATTTGAAAATAGTTTGGGCATTATGAGGTGATGAAAAGTATAAGTAATCTCACACAAATCCGGATTGGGGTTCCAAAGGTGGATCGGTGGCGCACTTTGTTACTATCCGTCAACTCCTGCAGCTTCGTCTTAGATCTTGTGTGATCTTGACATATGGGTAGCCTATGGAACAAGGAATGCTATATTTATGTACATAATATCAGAAAGAACAATACAAATGCAAAAGGATGTCTACTTATAATTTATAGATTATGCATTGTTTGATAAAGTACATCACAAGGACCTGTTGGTAACCTTGACATAGTTGGGTAGGATATCAAAATAATACAGAACCTATACTGACATCAAACCACCTACATACGGATAGTAAATATTAAAAAAATAAACTGTTGTCTCTAATGTGTCAAATTTGCAACTTTTATGTGATGATTTGTTCTCGCAAGATAATACAACACTTATCATGTGCAAATGACATGAAACTTGTCCCATTAATATCAGCGTTCACCAGATTTAAACTCCGTTTCGCACAGGGGGGCTCACAAGTGAACATGTGGCATTTTGGAACATTTCCTATATGACATGTGACATGTGTCATATCTAGAGTGGAAGTGAACAGTCTCAGGGTTTCAGAACTGGTCTAACTATATGATCGTTTGAAGTCAATCAAAACTTACATATATTTAATCTTTTTTTATTTAGATGATCACTTCTGGATATTTGCTTTTGCTGAAATAAATATTTTAAGTGACAGGCAGATTTAACTTGACTTTTGTTTTCAAAAAATGACCTATATCCAGTAGATTTGGGTCCCTATAACACAAAATTCGCTTTTGTTTTGCCATATTTTGCCTTATTTTGTCTCTAACCTCCCATCGTTGAATAGTGCTAACAACAAATGCTCCTCAATTTTTTCTTCTTTTCAATGTAAGTTCTCAATTATTAAACAATTTAAATCTGCACAATTTAAGAAAATTGTTATCGGGAAGATATTGAAAATGTAACCAGTTACTTTCATACATTAAATTGGTCATTACCTGCTTTTGGCACAATATGCTGAGCCCCAACTATCAGTTTTTAACATAAATTTATTTGTATTTATCAGAAAATCATGATCTAGACCAGTGGTTTCAAAAAAGATTTTTCTCTGGCTCGTATTTTCGGACTGAACATTTGCGAGCGTCTCACCAAATTTTATGTGATAAAAAGTATATTTAAAAATAAAAAAGAGGATTAAGGGAGATAACCGCGGATTCTCAGTTAGAATATTATCATTGATAACTCTCTACTCCTATTTGCGGATCCTAGTTACTATATTCTTAATACTTGATATATGCAAAAATAGAATCGGTCAATAACTATTTATAACTATTTATACTTGGACTCATGCATGCAATTACAAGTAATTCATAATAATATTTCCAATTTTAAAATCATATTTATTTTTGCCATATGAATTTTTGAAACTGTTTCTAAATCTTTGATTGTCATTCAGTCATTCCGCCTCACCTGCTACCCTCTTCCGCCCGTACCTATGAGGCGCGTCGCATGGTTTGGGAATCATTGATCTAGACTTATACTCCTATGTTTTGGAGATTGCTGAATGCATTTTTATATTATAACCCCCAAGAAAGAAATTGGTTAAATGCAAAATTTAAGCTCTTTTGGGGAGTTTTCGCTTTTCCGTGCAGATAAAGGTTTCAAGGACTAATCCCTTACTATTTATTTAGAAATGTGTAAGTTTTTTCTTTGATCTTGCTCTTAAGTACAGATAACACTAATACATTTCCATAATTGAGCTGAAAATTATT